GGTGCCAAGAAAGCAATGATGAACAGGTAGTGACATACTGTTGCTTGTTTACATTAGACAGTCAGTGTAGTACCCACATGCTCAGCTTGTATGCCTTTCCTATGTAGTGCAAATGGAGTCTGATTGTTTCATCAGATACCTGGAAGTGTGCAGCAAGCTTACCGCATGTTTAGCTACTGTCACTCTCTATGCCTGCTCTCGGAGCTTTATCACCTAGCACTTATGGCCAACTGCTGCGTGGTACGTCACTAAGAGACATATCCCCTGACTTGAACTTCTGGAACAACTGCCTAGGGGTTCATTTGTTAATGGCATCATCCCCAAAGGCCAGGCAAATTCGGTGACTTGATTCTTCTGCTGACAGGCCCACTTTAAAATCATACAGCAAACAACTCCAAACGAGCGCCTTTCAATCAGTCGCTGTGCGAGTTATGTTTGAAGTACCGATGCAACGGGCTTTTACACTCTTGGTCAATGTCCGGAACCCCATCCTAACCACTTCATTGTCAAGTTTGGCAACTATTTTTATGTTAAGGTTCACTCTTCCAATGTCATATCAGAAATGGCAAGAAGTTTTTTGGTTAAATTGCATATGTGTGTATTTAATGAAAAATTCTTAAACTGAAATAAGATAAGATAAGTGAAATAAGATAAGACGGTTAATTTGTTAACTGGCCAGCTGAAGTCCAGGGTGGTGTTACAATAAAAAACTTTGGCCCTGACCAGATCAACAGGCTATTCCAAAGTGAAACTTTTATTTTTCAATCATAAGATATACATAACTGGAATAGAAAAGTGACAGAGGAAAGAATTTAGGATATGTTTCTTATTATTAACAAAGTACACTTATTTAAAAGCAATAACTCGGATGTAATTTGAGAAAATTCTTTACAATGAAATTCTTTCCGCTATCAAGAAATTTCAGTTCTTATTTCTAAACTCTTCACCTTTATATTTTAAAGATAAATATCTGTTTCATATATGAGAAAAAATACATAATTCAATTCAAAATGTACTGAAAAAATGCAGAATGATAAACCGAAAATTAAACAAAAAACTTCACACCCTCTTTTAATGCTACATCATTTTTATAACCTTACTTACTACCTTTTCTGGTTATTAAAAGACATGCAGAAAGATTTGCTTTTGTGAAACAAAGTATAAAACTAGCTTTCTGCATTTTGTTTTCGCATATTTTCTGACTGATCACTTTTAAAAAACATAATCTGTTGCAAAACAGTGCAATTTAAGATAATAATGACAAGCATGGCATCACAACACACTTACAAGATATCCATCTTGGTTTTACATAACTCTGATTAATCCTCATAAGGCAGTTTAAATTTTATAAAGACACAAGTTGTAATTTCTCAAATTTCCACTCCATTTTGGAGGGGGGGGAATAAATTAATAAAATCTGAGACTTGCTTTCTATAAAACTGCAATAAAACTATAGCTGTTTCTAAAGTTAGGAGAGCTTAGCATTAAAAAAATTGCATTAATGGGCATGACACGGAAATTTATCTGAAAACTGATAAACGATGATGTATTCCGAAATAGGTACAACTCTGATATACGCCCTAATTTCACCAAATGTGGCGATGTGAGTTCTGCGCTGGTTTTTGCTGCAATTGCATGTTGTATGGCAACACTGTTGACGTTGAAAAATCTTTCGCTCGAGTTAGTTGGTTCGCGTCATGCTCCGTGTCTGAGAAGCTAGGGGAAAAAGATAAAATGGTGGAAGTTGTTGAATTAAAGTTCGGCAAAAGGAAATATCGTCATGGCCATCCTGTTGAGGGGCAGTGGGTATTTGGAGGTGTGGAAAGAGGGTCTGGGAGATTATTTTTAGTGGCTGTGCATGATAAAAGTAGGGATTTGTGATTATTTGTTATTTTATTTATTTGTGAACCGTAGTATGAATTTTCTGGACAATGTGTGTGGCTGTCATATAAATACGATGATTACGTGGCGGCATGTTAAAAGCAGTATGAAATTGGTATTTCTGCTGTTCGAAAAAGCATTAATTCATGGTAAGTGCATTTTCTTTATTCTTGTTCTTATTTGTAGAATGTTATGTTCATTGTTTTTTTTAGTATGAATTTCTGTCGTTTGTTGTTTTTTTTTTAATTGTTTGAAATTTATTTTAGTTATTTTGTTGATTAGTGCATACCGTCTAAATTGTGCAATTCGTAGATGTTTTTTAAAGTTGAAACAGAACGCTGTATACATGATATTCTTTGAAATTTGTTGTTATGTTAATTTATTAAAGTGAGGTTTGCGTAGTTCGTATATTCGTTTGTTGCCCATATTGTGCAATTCGTTTATTTTTTTTTAAACAGGATGCTGTGTACATGGTATTCTTTGAAATTTATTGTTGTTATGTTAATTTATTAAAGCGAAATAAGGTAAATAAGGTATTTTAATTTCCTTCGTGTAGTGCTAAGATGAATTTCCTTTGTATGTTATTTCATTGTTTGATTTAAAATGTAGTTTATTCAGAATATATATTTTTTTCTAAGCTGCTTCTTTGATTTTTTAAGTCAATACAGTTTGATGTGTACATGGACAAAGTCAAGGGAGTGCGCAAAGTCTAGTTTGTGCAATTCTGTAATTTTTTTTTAAGTGAAAATAAGTTGATGAGTACACGGATAAAGTCAAGAGAGTGAGCAATGCCATTTTTATGCAATTCTGGGACTTTAAGTGAAAATAGGTCGATGTGTACATGGATACCGAGTTTTTGCAATTCTTTGTCTTGTTATTTTGGCTTTGTGTAGTGCCGATTTCTGGCACAAAAATCACTGCTACGCAAGCCAAGATAACAAGTCAAAGAATTGCAAAAACTCGGTATCCATGTATCGCCAAAAATTGTCAAGTTTCGTAAAGGTGTACCCTATAATATACTTTTACCCATAATTTAAAGTTTGAAACTATGGTACATAAAAAATCAACTACAAGAGTGCTCACATTTCACATAAAACGTTTATGACAATTAAAAGAACCAAATTCATACTTAATAATAAAATAATCAGTGATTAAACAAAATGCTTGTTAGAGGATTCCAAATAATTACACAAAAAGAGCTAAATGTCAGATTAATTTTATATCATGTGTTCAAATGATTATAAATCCAAGAATTTTATTCAGTTCACGGCCAACAACTTGAGAACTATCTGCAGATGGGAAGGGATGTCTTTATGGAGAACTTTTGGAACAAAACTAGCTCACATCTACATTACAGATGGAGAAAACCATAAAAATGCCCATCCAGCCAGCCAGTTTACTGTGATTTGAACCTAGGGCGAACTACCAATGTTTGACTTCACCACTTGGCTGCTGGTGTGCACCAGACCGAAAGAGTAGCAAATTCAGTTTATTTAGATGATGGCAAAGTAGTCAAGGGCTATCTCCTAAAGGAAGCCTTAAAAGAGGAATTTTTAAGTGGAACTGGATCGTATTCCCACTTGGTATGAAGAAAAACCACAAAAACTCTCATGCAGTCAATCCATTTGCCAAGACCTAAACTGCCAGCATTCAGTATTTTTACTATTTGGACACTTGTGGGCCAGAAAGTGTAGCAACTAATATCTTAAAATGCATATTAATATTTCAACAGAAGACGCATTAAACAGTCTTTAGAAAAATTAGGATATGTGATAAAATGTAATAAAACTAAGTAATTTGTTTCTACCAAAGTGTTTCATAAGCCTTTTGGGTAAAATCCTAGTATACGGTGCAGCCTTGGCGCGATTTTTGAAAATTATCGCCAACACCAAAAAATGTCTATGTATATACTATCACTATATACATAGTATATACTATGTATAACTATATATATTCTTTGAATACTCGTTTACTACTTCATCGTATATGTCATGTTTTTAAAGCTCATCATAAAAGTCGCCAAAAGTAGCCAAATCCCGTGTGCACCGGATACTAGGATTAAACTGCCCTTTGTGATATCTAAATTTAAATATTACAGAATAGGCAATTAAATTTGATATTTCTGAAACTAAGCGTGAAGGCTGCTTTAACAAGAATGAACATATCCATAATTCAAACATACAGTAAGACTGTATTAATCAAAATTAAATGTCATACATTCAACCTCCATAATAATAATAACAATATATTATAAAACACACTTAACAGAGCACAGTTTTGTAAGGAAATTAGAAGTATAATATGACAACAGAATAATATTCATTAAGGTAATGAAAGTCCTTTCTAAAAATTGCTCTTTCCACAAAATGTGACAAAAATGAATAATACATAAAAAAACTGAAAATGTTATTAAATGAGAATAACTGAAAAACTTAGATGGTATAAGTGCAATCAAAAGACAAACTACACAGAACTATTAAAACATATTTAATATGTTTCTGAACAAAACAAATATAATTAATTTAAAGTAAGCATACTGCAAAACGAAAATTGAATTGGAGGCTTTAAAATACAGCTAATGTATAAGATTAATTAGAACCACAACTAATTAGGTTTAAAATTTTATGCACGATTTTAAACCGTAGTGGTTTCCAACGCATACCAAAAGCAAGAACAAAACTTGAGCACCTGTTACTTTGACAATATATACATGGTATATTGGCTACCTTTTAAAGATATTTAAGAGAACATTTAAATCGCCATATACGTACCGCGACGTCAATTCGTGTATTAGTTACACAAATACATGAAATTTAAAATGACTCAAGATCAGCATATGAAAAACTTTGTCTAACCGCATGAATGTTATGACAATCACTCTATAACATAATTATTAAGAAGAGCTGATGTGTATTAAGTATTCCGAATGCAGAAAATATTTTCGAAATATTGTAACAGTAGTTCCTCTTACCCACAAACTACCTGGCATTCTAGTGGGAAATACTAAAACTATAAATATGATTTTATGTAATGTTTTTAACATATTTCATGAAACAGTTTATGAAAATAAACGTTAAATCAATACCAAGCCGCGGAAATTGATCAGTTCTAAATCGTACCTGAACTACATTTATCCATCAAAACTGATGTTCATTTGTTAAATACAATTTATACATCGCACTTTAACGCCCCACACAATTTATTTTTCTCAATCTTCACCAAAAACATCATTTCTACCGTTTTCAGAGATCTCTCATGCCTACGGCTTCACCACAACTTGACGCATCAATACAGACGGGCGAGGCTTTGGTACAGTTTTTATCACTGTACTGACTTTCCGTTTCCATACAATGCAATGTAAAAGAGGCCTTTTCGTTTCTGATAATTTTCCGACATTATTTTAGTCGAGATTCTACTACAGAAGATGGCAACTCATGTTGATGAGTAGTTAAAGGATCTTTGTTTTTAATTTTTTCCTTGAATATAGAAAAAGCAAATTGAATTTAAAGTAGAATATATCATTACTTTTACTTTAGATTACCACTTATTATTTCATAATTTTTCGAAATTTCATTTAATTAGATTTTTTTCCTGTTTCCCACATAATGAATTAAATATTTCATTATTGCGTAACATATAGGAATCATTTAGGGTAAAATAAAACACATAAAATTTAATTATTATACATGTCTTCAAAAATTTTACAAGATATTTGCTGGCAGTCAAACGTACTTCTCAACTCAGAAATAATAAATTGCTTGTTTCTGTATATCGGTCGTTGTTTGCCACGTCTGTTATCCCCTTTTTATATGTTTTTATGGCAGTTTACTTCATCATTTAACATTAATTTTTGTATTTAAAGACTGTCCAACTAAGTAATTGTAAAAATGTATGTTTTGCAGCAATTTATTATTATAGTCTGTACTTTAGTTGTAGTAAATTGTTTGATGTTCCGATTACCTGCTAACAGTAAACGTTGCTTAAAAGAAGAAATCCATAAAGGTGTGCTAGTTAATGGAGAATATGATCTAAGTGATGCTCCTGGTCAAAAAACAGATTTGCTGGTTAGTATGCATTTTGGTTATTTGCAGTAACATATGTATGGTGCATAAAATGTTTTATTCTAAAGCTGCCGGCAACCCATACGAAACTTATTTATGTGTATTGGAAGAAACGAGTCGAGAATTTTCGGTGCACTATTACTGGTGGAAGAAATTATTATGAAGCTAATATCACAATTTATTTTTACCTTTATTCCAGCTGAAAGGATTTGAGGCTGCCTCATTATGACATGTTACTTAGAAAATTTAAATGATATATTAAGCTATACAGATTCTTAGTATGATATGGTAAGAGTATTAAGCTATACAGATTTTTATTTAGATTAATCGTTAATTCATCAAATTTTTTTCTCAGGAGAATAGCTTAGAAATTTCTAATTTTTTTTTTTTTTTTTTTTTTAATCAGATTATCTGTTTTAATTAAAAACAGGATCACTTAATAGGATATTGAAATATTTCAAATTTCTGGAGAGTAAGTGAAATTTGTTCAAGCATATTGAAAATTCTAGATATCATTTCAAAGTGCCAAATGTGATTGTTATAAAATTGCAAATAATTCTAGCTTTTTCGGAATAAAATCATCCTTAACAAATTTGATTGGGACAGAAATAAAGAAGTGTATATAAAAAAAGAGGAAAAGTTTTTGTAAATTAAATATATGTATCAAATGTTATAGATTTATGTATTAATGGCAACCTGCTTTCTAGGAAATTTTCAGAATGCTGTAAACATTAGTAGCCATGTACTTAACAGTTCTTCACTTTCAGCAAACAGCATTACATTGTTCCCTTTTAAATAAGGGCTCACCATTGGTTGAGTGGTAAAGTTACTGTTGTATACAGTGGCAGTTTGGCATGGGTTTAGATCCATATGAGCATGTTGGCTGCATGAGCGTTTTCATGGTTTTTCCCTTTATGTAACATGGATATGAGCCAGTTAGCCTTAAAAAGCCTTCCATGAAGCCAACTCCTTCCTTTAGTCAGATGTCTCTCATATAAATCAAACCAACCTTTTTAATAAGTTTATCATTTATAAAAGATGTTTTGTAATTTCAGGAATAAAGTATTGTCACTTACTAATTTTTTTTTCTAATTTTTTTTCTTTTTTTTTTTTCTTTTTTTTTTTTTTTTGTAAAATGTAATTTAATATGACTGAAAATAAAATAAAAATTCTCTAGGAAATATCTTGACATCATGCAAAGCATTTTGTAGTAATAAGATTGGGAAAATAATAAGGTACATGGAAAAAAGAATATGTATATGAATAATTGAAGGATGACTGTATGGAGAATTTGATTATGTGGTTAAACTTCAGATTATGGTAACTTGGCGATTTTTTGGTGAAAATTTGGCGACCAACCCTGCTACAGCAACCTGCGAGTTTTTTTTTTTTTTTTTTTTTTTGGACCCCATTTTGTTTTCACGAAGTAAAGGCATGTGTTTTTTTTTTACTCAACATTTTTTTCCCACAATCTGCTAGCATGGAACAAAACTGCTTAATCATGACGAAAATTAGGTGCGAAATTAGGAGAAAGTGTAGAATTGCCCACTACTTGCTGCGTTTTTAAGAATTGCAATATTTACACGGTACATGTACACGTGACCTACTTTCACTTAAAAAAAATCCCAGAATTTGCACCAGAAAGGGATTGCGCACACTCTTGACTTTATCATGTTACACATCGACTATTTTCACTTAAAAAGTCAAGAAAATTGAAAAACAAAAAATCCATTCTTCTTACTCTTGTAAAAGTGCCAAACAAATAAGTGGGCGATTCTGCACTTTAGCAGCGAAATTGTAAGTGCTTATTAGCTAAAATCCCGATTAGAATTTTCCAGAAGATGTCACATTACATTCTCATGATCTCTCATTTCTATGAGACAAAATAATCTGTGATTCAAACTGTGTAGTTCTCAGATTATTGCTTAGCTAGTAACCTTTATCGCCTTACCAAAGTGTCGCCAAACTACCTGTTACCATATTCCAAAGATTAGCCAAATATAAAAATGATGTATTTTATGTAATATGTGATGCATTACTGCTGTTCTCATTGACACTGCAGTCTGTTCTCATTTTATAAAAAAAAAAAAAAAAAAAAAATCAGTATTTCGCAAATTTCACATTGTGTACATTAAGCATTATTTGTTATATGTATTATTAGCTTTCTTCCTATGTATGCAACAATCTGTGTTCGCTTAAAAAAAAATAGAATTGCACACACTAGACATTGTATATATTATATGATATGTTACTATGTGTGTTTTTTTTTTTTTTTCCAGTGATTTGTTTTTGTTTAAAAAAAACCATCAGATAATTGCAGAAACTCTGTATTGCACACTCGCTATGATCAATTATATGTTGTTGAATAAGTATAAAAAATAAAACAGTTACCTTTTTAAAAAATTTAGTTATTTGATGCAGGATAAATTTTCTTTCACACGTGTCACTCTCTCAAACAGTCTCGGATCTAGGCGGGGGCATGCCGGGGTCTGTGCCCCGGGCGGCAAATTCAAGAGTTGCACTGAATTGTATTTGGAATGTTGTGAAATTTTGATGCAACATTAGTAGTTTTAAAGCCAGGTTTAAAACCTCTTTTAAGAATATATATAATTAATTATTTGAAACCTTTGGAGCAAACAGTTTTAAAAGTAAGATAAGTACAGCTGAACACGACTCTAAAGATAAGATCAGAGAGAGGACAATAGAAGGACTCCAAGCATCACTGAAAATTTCAAAGGACCCTGTCCTTCTGCCAACCCAATATGTAATTTTATTACAAAAGTATTCCGTCAAGACCAAGGCCGTAAACGCCTTGGTCTTTGGTCCCTGTAAGTGATGCGCAGAGCAAAGAATCTATATATCTTTCCCTTCAACTTCTTTGCCTAGAGTCTGTTGTCCTCTCTCCTGGCGGGAATATTCAAAGGAAAAACAGAACGATAGTATAGAGGCGCCTTGTTTTTATACCAACGCCTTTTGCGAAATAAATGGAGAAATTGTAACTCTTTCCTAACACCCAATACAAATTAACCTTGGACCAATGAAATAATTCAAATTAATGTACGTCGAGAATATACAACAGAAATGAAATAAGGCATTTTGATTTTTTTCCGCCAGTCAGCAACATAGGTTTTAAAAATGGGTTAATTTTTTTTTTATAGTTTTTAAAGTTTTTTTTTTTTTTTTTTTTTGTCTTATTTTCTTTTAATATGCATGCTTATAGTATTCCTCGCTATATTTAGCGAGACGCAACCACTTAGTTAGTGGGCACGTCCGCGAAGCGGCCCTAATACTGTTGAATGTAATTATATCAATTTTTAGCTTTTCTTATTAAGGCAAGTTATACTATATATTATTTAGGGTGCAAGAAATCATGAGAAGGTGTAGAAAAAAACTCTCAGGGGCAGAATATGGAACCAGAGCAAGAGATAGGACTGAACAGAGAAAACAAATTGCAGCTATAATGAAAAATGGCTTCATGGAAAAGACGAACCGTCAGATCCTGCCGCAAATTCCGATGGTGCCGAGACTCTAAACGATATTGATGTTTCTTGCAATTTGCATGACCAAGATGAGAAATCTTCATTTATCATCCTCAAACAGACTTCATTTCAGCAACTGAGAGAACAACTTTCTTCATAGACCTCAAACTAACGTCTAGAGGACATGAAATTAGGATATAAAGTATTTTCTCATTTAGGTGAGTGTGGGCAACAGAAAGAAGACTTAAAATCTTTTGATTTGTCGGACCCAAATAGTTGGCCAATCACAGAAAAAATGAACGATCTTTCTTAGCAGTCAAGCTGTATTATTAGCCAAAAAATATCCAACATTGTAGACCTTAGGTACACAGAACGTGATGGAAGACATTTGACATCTTCATTGTTGCACAGAACATTAGCAAATAATGAAAGGCTTAAAAGATCTTGGATTATATATTCTAAAACTAAAAATGCTATTTTTGTATACCCTGTGAGATTTATCAGAAACATACCACTGCCATTAAATCAGCATTGTGTACTACAGGATTCACTAATTGGAAAAAAGCTTTAGAAAGGTTAACTGAGCACGAAATATCTGAAATACCACACAGAGTGCATGATTAAGTGGTGGAAAGACTACAGCAAATGAAATAGTGTCAAGGCATCATGACATTAAGAGACTAACTCACACAGAGAAAGAAAAATGGAGAAAGATCCTACAGGTGAGTATGGATGCTGTATTGTATCTTTCAACAAACTGTCTTTCTTTCCGTGAGTCTGATGAAACCCCTGGCAGTCTGCTCACAAAGTGTTCTCGGCCTAGTCAAAGCAATTTTTTTAGTTTAATGACTCTGCTAGTCAAACATAACTCTTAAGTACTAGTTAGAATACCTAAAGAAGGGACGAGTATCATATTTAACAAAGATAATTCAAAATGAAATTACTGATGTAATGACGAAAACAGTTCACAATAGCATTTTATATGATATTAAAGAAGCCAAATATTACACAATAATGTTTGATTGCTTTCCAGATGTGTCGCATACAGAACAAGTGAGCCAGGTGATTCAATACGTAAAAAATATGTGTGGATGTGTGTGAAATAAAGGAGAGCTTTATTGATTTCATAGAAATTGGTGGAAAGACGGGAGAATGTATTTCTCAACGGTTTGTGGAAAAACTGACACTTGATGGTTTGGATATTGACAATGTCGGGGTCAATTTGAGCATTACGGATCTAACATGGCCTGTACTTACCGGCCATATTAGATCCTGGAGCACAAGCCAGGATTACGGAAATGAATAAGCTGGCCGAAATATGTGCAATGGTTTGCTCACTCTTTGAATCTTGTCTGTGTGCTTTCTACCTGCTCTTGCCCCGAAGCAGTTAACTTCTTTGGAATTATCCAGAAGATATTTAGCTTTTTTCTTCGGATTCACTATTCGATGGGATATTACGAAAAGATGTACAAAAACCAACTCAAAAGGAAGCAGCCAGACAAGATGGTCGTCAAAACATGTGGC